CTGTTGTTTGCAGATAATGTCCGCAGATCTGTGGCCTGCCAGGAGAAAGGAAGTGTCCAGCCACCGCTTCTGGCAGGAGATCCTTGCTGTCATCGCAGGGCCTGGGACAGAAGTCACAGGGCCTCCCTTCCTCTTCACGCAGCTGGCCATATCAGCTTGCACCCTGCTGGCCACCCCCTCCTTTTTGTGGCCCTGATGCCAAGCCTGGGCTGGCAAGCTGAGGTTTGGATGCATCTGCAGATTTTTCAGGGCAAATTCAGATGCAAATAAAAGTGAGCACAAATATGCCTAAGGGCAGCTGCTCACCTTGAAGCTTCACAGCCTGACCCAGCCTATAGGATGCCTGCTAACATCAGCTAGGGAAGGGAATTTTCGACAAATACCCAAGACTGCTTCTCCTTGTGCGGCTTTCACAGGCTACTTTGAACCCTGAAACTGTCATGTTAGCAATACTTCCGTCAACTGACTGCTCTAAATTTGGGGTGTTATCACAGCTTCCTAGAGGGCCTTCAAAGTGCTCTGAAAAGTCTTTTGGTCTGATATGCATTTCTGCTGCTCTGGCTGCCTCAGAAAAGATGGTTGACCTTTCTCAGAGCTTAGAGACCTGATGTCATAGTTTTTTAAGGACAGAAGAGATCAGCATGTTCATCCATCATCCTTAAACATCATCCCTCTATCACTAGGAACAGACATGACCCTGGCATTAAAGCTTATTTTAAGTTATTTTCATAGCTGCTTCTCTGCATTTGTTTGACCGAGAGGAAAAATTATCAAGCTGAAACTGCTTTTCTATTTCATATTATCTTATCAACATGTTTATCTTTTTGGGTGATGGGAAAAGTAACCCCAGTACTTCTGTTTGTGAATATTCACAGAGGTAAGGGGATTTAAGCAGTTAGTGAATGGTTTGAAGGAAAATTTAGATCCCCTTTACAAACATCGTTATGTTGATGGAAATTCTCATTTTTATGCAAACCTTTCCCCTATAATAATTTACTTTAAAAACATCTTCCTTGTATTATTTCCAGCTATCAGAATTAATCAGCCAGGTATACGCTAAACTCTGATACAGGGCAATGGCAGTATATGAAGAAACAAGCATAAATTATGTCACTAGTGAGTCCAGAAAAGGATTGCAGTGATAAGGGAAGATGAGCTGAAACATTTATTTCACCTTATCTCCTACTCGTAACAAAATAAAAATGAATGAATAATAAACAACTCTTTTTGTAAAGAACCAGCTTTGTTTGCCTTTCCCTGCTGTACCCATAAAAAGTTCTCACCAGCAAAGTGTAGCACTTGAGTTCATACAGTTTCATCCCAGGGACATTTGACTGTCTCTACATCGTGTGACTTTAGATCATACTCATTTTTTAAAGTTTAACTTTAAAAAAAAAGTCCCTAGTGGTATGCAAGTATTTTCATTTAAGGCAATTAAGCTGTCTTCATGAACAAGACTTCTGGATCTGCAAAACCACAGTGTCAGTAGGTAAGTCACGGTGTGAGCTAGCATGGGTATCTGGGAAGTCAATGTACTCCCCAGGTACCGCTGAGGCTGCAGTTGTGGCATTTGTGCCTCTACCTCTGTTTTTTTGCTTATTTTGTTGACAGAGAGCTTATCTCACTAGTTGTCCCTGCCACACAAACTCTGTGAATCTAGCATGAGCATTTTAGGAAGAGAGGGTTGGTGCATCCCTGTTTCCGTGGGCATGTTCACAAGGGCAGAGCCATGTTTTCAGCAGGAACAAACATATTTACACTAGTACTGAGCAAACCAGCTTGGGCAGCAGCACACTGGGGCACTGGGAGCTCAGGATAAATTGGACAAATCTGCCCAGAAATGACGACTACATGCAGAGGCAGTTGCTATGCACTAAGGTCCATACTGAAGAGAGTCCTTCTAGTGGTACCCAGGCATCAGAGGTGCTTTTGCCCTTGTTGCAATGACACTTCTGATTGCAGTGTAGGTGTTTTTTGCTGCTAGATACATCAGTGTGTTGAGACTGTTTTGTGCTGCTCTGGGGACATGAAGCAAAAGTGAATAAACATTTACCAGACAGTTGAAATGGCTGGTAATGGCTACTAATTATGTAAGTCAAATAAAATAACTGGTGTTTGAACGACTGACCTTTAATTTCTATAACTCAGAGAGCATCCATTTGCTACAACATTCAGACCTCAGCTGTGGTTACGTGGCTAAACTTGCTTTATTATTCAGAAATTCCTCTTTCTGTCTGCTATAGCTTAGAGACAAGAATTATTCAACAAAGTTTATTACCACCTTCTCTGAATTTTAACCCCATGATGCAGGGTTAATAAGTGGGTGCTTTTGAGGAGTTTCTGCTTTCAGATTTTCCCATATGTTTGGTGTCTGAGAGATGAGTTTCTTCCTATAGGAAGTTTTATAGAAGAACAAAAGTTGCAATCAGAGTAATATAAAATGCTTTGATGAAATAAGACCATCTACAAACTGCTTCATGGAACTTGTGGAAATAATTGATTTAAAGCACTGTGTCTGTCAGCAACTAAAACAATGCAGCTATTTTGCAGACCTGAATTGCCTGCTGAGTAACAACCTACACCAACAAATAAATAAATTGTATTTCAGAGCTGTTAACAAGCTTAACTATTAATTTATGTGTGCATTTAAAAACTACTAAATAGAAATTTATTCCTGAATAAATACTAATCTCACTTTCGGAGGCGAATTGTCACTCAATCTTGTTTATTACAACAATGCAGAGAAAGCACATTGTTTATGGAACTTAAGCCCAGACAATAGTCTGATTAGAGCTAGGACATTGACAGTCAGAACTAGGAGTGACTTTGCATCTGCCACCTACATTAGCATAAACTCTTTAGACACTATTTGTATCTATTAATGATCAGATTATTTGTCCTCAGATTAACAGAATTTCTCAGATCCTATTCTGCATGTCATTAATTTTGAGTTGTATTGACCAGAGAATGAAAGGCATATAGGAATAAAAAAAACTAGTCCACACTTGAGTTGCATATAACTTTGTTTTGATGGAGGGTTTCTTTTTGAGCTTACTATTGTTGGCTAAATCCCTCCGCTGATCCTGAACAAAGCATACAGAAGTTGCTACCAAGATATACAGCTGTGGAGAATTGACAAGAAAATTGTTCTTAATGTATAAGCACAGGCCAAGACTTGAAAGATCTGGTTTCAAGTCTCATCTGAAGACTTTCTGGGGGCTTTATCAAACCAGGTAATATGCTTTCTTTCTTGCAATATCTGCTTTGGTTTTGGCTTGAGGTTTCCAGACTGTTTTGCAGGCTCCTGGACATTCACAGGTGGCAACTTGCTAAGGAGTGGTGAGTAATGGCTAAGGGAAAACAAGCTTACTCTTAGCTGCTATTAGTGACAGTGGAGGTGTTTTAAAAGGGCCACAAATAAAGAACGCTTAAAAGTCTACACATTTCACTTTCAGTTTTACTAGATGAGATGTTTTTGACCTTCTCTTTGCACTGTGGACACTTGATAAAGAACTGTAATGCCATTGGTATTGGTGTAATACTGAAGTCTATCACTCCATTCCACGGGACCTCTAATAGACGTCTCCCACGCTGACTTCCCCTATGATGCTCTATTTCTGCCCATACATTATTGATAGCTACTCAAGGAGTAACATGTCATGTTTTCCATTTTTTCTAGCTTTCCTAGTTTTCAGTTGTTCGTGGTAAACATTGACAACCTTCTGACAAGGTCAGGAAGCCAACGAAGACCACAAAATACAAAGGAGAGGTGGATACCAAAAACATGCAGTTCAGGCCACTTTGGCAATTTTGTGGGCCTAGCTCACATGCTTCCACGTCTCAAGAGCATAAGCATCATAAAGGTGGGAGAACACAGCTTTGGGGAAAAAGGATATAAACCTTGTTTTAGTTGTCTGTGTGAATACAAACTTCATCCTCATGCACATAAATTTTATGTTTAGAGCTAGTTTAACAACTGGAAGAATGTTCCTTTAAAGATTGGGCCATTAAAAGGAGATACATAACCCTAAAACTTAGCCTATTTAGAGGCAGTGTCTTTCTATTTAATGAACAGATGCAGAGAAATATAGGTGTTTTTGTGGTTGTTGTTGTTTTTCTTGGAGATGGATTTATATCTACTAATATTTTCATTCTGATATTATCTTAGTGAATATGCTTTATGTTTTATGATGTAACATGGTTTTATATGGACATTTCATTCTTAGTATTCCTTGAAAATAATAATAATTAAAAAAAAAAAAAAAAGGCACCAGAAAATATGAAGAAGAAATGTGGAAAGATATAATACTGGATTTACCTGAAATCCTAGCAATAATGTGTCAGAAGCTTTACAAGAAAATAACAATAATAAAATGTAAACCTCTACTCTGAAAAGACACTGAGTGAATGTCATAAACTGCCTGAAAGCTGAACACTGAACTTGCATGCAATCATTCACTGGCATGCTTACATCTTTCAGATGAATGCAAAGCTCTCGAATAACATAAAAAATGAAAATATAATGGCCTCAGCATGCAAAATAAAATCCTACTGTAAGATTAAATATATTCCAATGACTACAATTAATTGCAAAGGAGAATAAATCACTATCCAAATAATTTATGTGTTTTAAATATCATTAAAAAAGCCATTAACAATCAAACAGGAAACTGGCAGCTTGACAATTTTATGACACTAAGCAGGTCTGCAATAGTTTGATTCTGACTTCATTTAAGACAATGACAAACCTTCTGTTGACTCACTTGGGGAGTACTGAAGTGTCAATAATTTTTCATTTTAAAAAAATCTATTTTTCTTCTGCATTGCAAAGGAAATCAAAAAGGCTCAGAAGTCTAGATAGACCAACATTTGTGCTGGTTTAAGTATGCATTACTTACTTCTATAAATTAGCAGAATAATTTGTTATAGTTAGTATTGCATTATCAAATAACTCTTGCATTGCAGAATCCCCTTACGTTCTTTTGAAGTTTAATACTTACTTTTTTCCTCTGATCAAGAAAGACTGTAAAAAACCCTCATAGTCTTATTGGATGGTTTGAGCCTCTAAAGATAACAAAAAAAAAAAAGGTAGATGATTTAGGAGAAGCCATTTTGTATTGTTAATACACCAAGTCTTGTATTTACAAAGAGCAAAAAGTAATCTCGATATTAGGGTAGTTGATATTTCTCATGCTTATATAATTTTTGAAGCAGTGTTAGAGTTTTGAAAATATTGTGCATAATAGAAGTATGATTAATGCTGAGAGCAACAAACCAGACAAAGAAAGAGAAGAAAAGGTAAGTTCAAATTGCAGCCAGTATCTGAACTATTGGTACTTGGCAGACAGGCAGTGTGGGTAATCCTCTGCTTTGCACTTCAGCAGCAGGGTCAGAAAGCCCAGGGCCACTGTGGAGGGGAAACCCATCAACTCCATTCCCGCTGGAGGGCAGAGCCACAGAGAACCTGAAAAAGCAGGCAGGAAAGACCTTCTATCCTGATCAAAAGGCAGGAAGAGGCAGCACCTCTGCAGGACAAACAGTCACACCTCCTGCCTGAGACCTTCTGCTCCTTTACCATGAGCTGGGGCATACTGGGATGAAGGTAGATATCCCACTTCAATCTGCTGTCTCCAGAAATAGTCGGAAGCTCTGCCATCTCCCCTTTCTCTCAGACATCTTTCTTTTTTTTTTTTTTTTTTTTTTTTCTTTTTTTCTGATGATGGTACTTCTAAGGGGAAAAAGGAAGGGGCACATTGTGGACTTCCCAGGGACCATCCACAGGAACATTCTCCATGCTGCTCTTGGCATGAAGCAGCTCACTGAGATGAAGGAGCCACAGTCTGCTCCTCCCTTCCTGCTTCTGGCAGTCTCTCAGCTCAAAATACACCATCAATGGCTCCCTGCTGGGTCCCACCTGCACAGAGAGGGTCTACCAATAGTCTGCTGAGGAACAGCAAGCAAGCAAGATGGGAGGGGATAATATTTTGGGTCTGGGAGTGGGGGGAGAGGAAAGGGCACTTTATGAATTACAGTGATCTCCTGTACTGAGTTTAATTTATCCCGTAGGACCTAGGCTGCCTGAGAATAACTACTCCACGGTGCTCTCTGCACGTCAAACACATGTCCTCTTCCCAACAAGGGCCCTGGGCAGAGGTTTATGAGACAGTTGTAGTGAGCTACTGTTGAGGCACTGCAGCATGCCAACAGATGGGCTGGGATGAACATCTTATGTTGGAGATTGCTCCCCAGAGGCTATTTCTGGCCTCTTGTGTTGCTGGAGGGCAATGGAGCTACAACATCACACAGAATTAGGCCTGCTAGGTCTGAATGAGGAAGGTGTTCCTAGCATTTGGGAAGCAAGTGCGAGTCAGCTATTTCAGTACTGAGATGATAATTGCCTTGCAATTTGAGTAATTACCATGTGTGGCAATATATGTGCACTGTGAAAGTGTTTCCTAATGCATCCATTAGTAAGCAGCTATGCCACACAGTAGCAAGGCTTTGCCTCTTTCACAAACTTTGAAGTCTGTGAAAAAAAGTTAAGCCCATCCTTCAGAGCTGGGAAGAGATTAGTTACAGACTTAACTTGAGGCTCACCTCCACAGAGGTGCATTTTTATTCTGTGGAGAAAAATAGTAGGGCTGCCTGCTGCTTTTATGCTTTTCAGTCCTTATATGTAGGAAGACTTCAGTGCACAGCCTTCTTTGCTAAAATGAAAATAAAATGAAGAGTAACTGTGTTAAGTGAGAGCAACAGGAAAAATATAGCTCCAGATGCTAGGAGATATTTAGGCACCAATTCCTATTGAAACTGTCTCACTAAAATCATTCATTCACGTGGATAGTTTGTGCTTGGCCTTTGGTTATGTCAATATAATGCAGTTTCCAGAAATCTTTACCCATTCTCAGTAGTTAATTACGACTATCTAAGCCAGTCAGGCTCGATGGGGCTGAATGAATAAATGTGTGAATGTTTCAGTGCTCCCGGTTCTGGGCTTTTAGACCTTTTCCCTATCTGAGGCAGCTTCTGTCAAGCAGTTCAGCCCTGTGCTTTCTCTGCCTCCCCCAGTCAGTAAATGGCATCTCTTGTAAAAGGAGAGTGATGTGTGTGGTGGTGTTTTAACTCCAGAGCTCAGAGAGCATCCCAGGCTGAACACGATGCTCTGGCTACCCTGAGCTGAAGGAGTGGGTCCTGCTCCAGCCCCAGAGCTGCGTAAGGGCCCTCGTGGGTATGGGCCCCTGGGGCCTGGTTGCTCACAGTTCGTGACCGGGCCTCGCAGGCAGGATGAGCGCCGGCACTCTGCAGCAGTTATGCAGCTAGTTACGGACTGGCAGGCAGGTTTCAGCATTTATTGGTGCCCTGTGACACCTAAATTATCATAAGGTCAGAGAATTCATTGAACCCGAGCAGCACTTAAGCAATTTCAGACTCATTTGTGGCCATTCAGACCCAACAAGTTTTTCAGAGGAAGACTATTGGCTGCCAGTAAAACATTAATGCAAAGAGCACCAGAAGAAAGCAAGGCTGTTTTAATAAGCTGTCTTGCTGCTGTGGCAGGGACGGGCAGGAGATTATTCCCAGCAAGCGGCCTGCTGTGCCAGCTAAAGGAGTCCCTGGGACGCCAACAGAGGATAATCAACAAGGAGACACCTACGCCACATCTTTTTCTGCTGGCTTTCCTGTCTTTCCACCTACTGTGGGTATCTTACTGATCTCAGAGCACCAAGATTCAGCAGCCACCTTCTTAATGTTTAGTACCTTGAGCGAAACATGAGGCCGTCTTGTTAATAGCCTCACTTGCCTGCTCTAACACGTCCATTGCTGCTTTCGCTATCCCGGTAGCAGTGGGATGTCAGCAGGGGAAGAAAAAAAAAAAGAAAAAGAAAAAAAAAAAGGCAACAGCCTGATGTAGATGAGACCCAAGGAACAAAAATCAGAACCTTCTGGAAGGCAATGCTGAAACCCAGGCCGCTACAGAGATCCTCCCAGGGTGGCAGGAGGAGAGCCCTGACCTGCTACCTGGGAGGAGGCCAGACTCCCCCTTCTGCTTTGCCATGGGGCAGAGGGGACATAAAGGGACAGGGACGTGGGGAGGAGGGAAGAGGATGCCAGGGGGACAGGCAGTGGAGGCTGCATCCCTTTCCTCTGAGTCAAGGGACAGCAGCTGTCAGTGTGAAGGTGGAGACATGTAAATGGCAGGCATGGGTTCGCTGCCTTCCCAGAGCAACAGCAGCTGAGTCAAAACAAGCACAGCCAGAAACATGAAGCCCTTAAACCACCCCCCCGCCACACTCACTCACATATATACACACATCATAATTCATGCTACATCAAAGCAGTGATTACCACAGCTTCCTGGCTGTCTATTTCTGTTTATTTATGGTGCATTACACATTTTAATGCTATTCTCAAGCAGCGGCTCAGCTGCCACTGTTCTGTATTTGGGTGGGGGAAAAAAAAAAAAAAAAAAAAAAAGAACAAATGGCTGTAATGTACAGCATGTTGTTCCCTGAGAAAAAAAAAGACAAATGAATGCTCAGCACCTTCCAGGGAGCAGCAACTCAGAGTTATTCATAGCATGATGACCCATCCCCATTTCATTCTAGTTCATCACCAATTCACTTGAGTAGGGGGAGGGTGATATGGGGTAGGGAGAGAAGGGCCAAAGCTGCTCCCCAAATGACCTTTAAGCCCGGCTGGCTTCAAATGAATCTTACATCATCGTTCGTCTTTATGATCATGTCAAGCTCTGAGCTGCTTCAAGGCAGGGGCAAGGGTTCGGTGTCAGGCTGACCAGAACCACCAAACTCATGGCTTGTTTGAAGCTGGATTCAAGCTAGTGGCAAGACAGCAGCTACTAGAAACAACAACCACTTTGGGGTTGCAGTCTGCTCCCTCTTCTGCCCCTCCCCATAAGGTTAGAGCATGTGGACTTGACTTCAGTAATTTATTTAAGGAAACTACACTCAGCTCAGACCAAGCTGAGCATACAAGATTTATTTCTCCTTGCCGTCAACCTTAACACCATTCCCTCTTGAAGCCTGACTTCTCATTACCATTACTCTCCTTGCAAAATGCAAGTCATTTTGTTTATGCCATGGGAAAAATACATCATCTCTTTAAGTGCATCAACAATATCAACATACAACAAATAATACTGAACAGGCAGGAAAAGCAGAACCCATTGTGCTGGCAATCCCTACTGTGAGTGACACACAGACTGCCGCTGTGTACCTCCTGCTGTACCCTGGTGTGTAGGAGTGGCACTTCTGAAAGGCTCTTTTTAGACCCCTTAATATTGCAGCCATCCTTGGGAGTGCACTCCAGGCAACATGCTATCAGCTTCTGCTGTAATAAACTGCTCTTAAAATGCCTAGCTATGGTGCCCGTGAAACACACTACATGGATATCCAGGGTCCTGAAGCACTCCTTTCAAAAGGCCGTTGTGTAGGAGTGGGGGACGTGTGGCTATGTCTCTGGTCCTATACCAATCTACCTTGGCTCTGAACTAAGAGGGAGGGAGGGAGGAAGGGAGGGAGGCAGGAAGGGAGGGAGGCAGGGAGGGAGGGAGGAAGAAGGAAGGAAGGAAGGAAGGAAGGAAGGAAGGAAGGAAGGAAGGAAGGAAGGAAGGAAGGAAGGAAGGAAGGAAGGAAGGAAGGAAGGAAGGAAGGGAGGGAGGGAGGGAGGGAGGGAGGGAGGGAGGGAGGGAGGGAGGGAGGGAGGGAGGGAGGGAGGGAGGGAGGGAGGAAGGAAGAGAGGGAGGGAGGGAGGAAGGAAGGAAGGAAGGAAGGAAGGAAGGAAGGAAGGAAGGAAGGAAGGAAGGAAGGAAGGAAGGAAGAAGGAAGGAAGGAAGGAAGGAAGGAAGGAAGGAAGGAAGAGAGGGAGGGAGGGACGGAGGGAGGGACGGAGGGAGGGAGGGAGGGAGGGATTTTTCAATCTTTCACCTACTGTATTCACAGCCGTTTTTTCCAAGAGCAACCTCAGCTGATGCCAGAGGGGCCAGCAGCTTCTTAGAGATGTCTCTGTCCACTGGAGGTAAAAACACCAATATAAAACTGCTCTTG